ACCCGACATAGTTCACCATATTTCTGGTGCAGTAAATACTCTATATAGTGAACTATATTTCTGGTGCAGTAAATACTCTATATAGTGAACTATATTTCTGGTGAAGTAAATACTCACCATACTGTACCCTATCTCCGGTGCATTAAATACTCTACATAGTGTACCCTATCCCTTGTGCAGTAAATACTCTACTTACTGTACCCTATCCCTGGTGTAGTAAATACTCTACATAGTGTACCCTATCCCTGGTTTAGTAAAAAGTCTACATACTGTAGCCTATCTCTGGTATAGTAAATACTCTATATACTGTTCCCTATCCCTGGTGTAGTAAATACTCGACATATTGTACATATCCCTGGTTTAGTAAATACTCTACATAGTTACACTATCCCTGGTTGAGTAAATACTTTACATAAAGTACCCTATCCCTGGTGCAGTAAATACTCAACATAGTGTACCCTATCCTTGGTGTAGTAAATACTCGACATAGTGTACACCAACACCCGGTGTAGTAAATACTATACATAGTGTAACTTTCCCTGGTGTAATAAATACTCTAATTAGTGTACCCTATCCTTGGTGTAGTATTCACTCGACATAGTTCAATCTATCCCTGGTGTAGTAAATACCTTACATATCGTACCTTTCCCTGGTGCAGTAACTACTCTACATACTGTACCCTTTCCCAGGTATAGTAAATACTCTATATAGTGTACCCTATCCCTTGTGCAGTAAATACTCTACTTACTGTACCCTATCCCTGGTGTAGTAAATACTCTACATTGTGTACCATATCCCTGGGGTAGTAAATACACTACATAGTGTACCCTATTCCTGGTGTAGTAAATACTCTACAAACTGTACCATATCCCTGGTGCAGTAAATATTCTACATACTGTACCCTATCCCTGGTACAGTAAATACTCTACATACTGTACCCGTATCCCTGGGACAGTAAATACTCTACATAAAGTACCCTATCCCTGGTGCAGTAAATACTCTACATAGTGTACCCTATCCTTGGTGTAGTAAATACTCGACATAGTGTACCTATCACTGGTGTAGTAAATACTCTACATAGTGTACCCTATTCCTGGTTTAGTTAGTACTCTACATACTGTACCCTATCCCTGGTGCAGTAAATACTCTACATACCGTACCATATCACTGATGCAGTAAATAATCTACGTAGTGTACCCATTCCCTGGTGCAGTAAATATTCTACATAGTGTACCCTATCCCTGGTGTAGTAAATACTCGACATATTGTACCTATCATTGGTGTAGTAATTACTCTGTATAGTGTACCCTATCTCTTTTTTAGTAAATACTCTACATACTGTACCCTATCCCCTGTGCATTAAATACTCTACATACTGTACCCTATCTCCGGTGCAGTAAATATTCGACATATTGTACCTATCCCTGGTGTAGTAAATACTCTAGATAGTGTACCCTATCCCTGGTTTAGTAAATACTCTACATACTGTACCCTATCCCTGGTGCAGTAAATACTCTACATACTGTACCACACATCATAGTTTAAGCAGTATACAACACCTCATAGTTTAGACACTACACAATACCTTATAGTTTAAGCACTATACAACACCTTATATTTTAGATACTATAATATAATATACATCAAAATATAGACATTATACTACATCTAGTAGTTTAAACACTATACTACTCCTGATTATTTGAACACTGTACTATACATATAGACACTATATCTTATAATTGAAATAACGTATTATAAACACTGTTTGCACGACTTTGTCCGATGAAATTTAATGATTAAAAATTATCACACAAGTACCAAAGACATCTAGAAACTTTAATGTCTGTTATTGCTTACTATACAACTCAAATATTTTCCTACCTGAAAACAACAGTACCAATCATGATAGTAGACTTTTGTCCAATCCGTTCAGCTAGCCAAACTCCAATGAATATGAATGACATTATAAATTCAGTTGTGTAGATAATCCAAGTTGTTTCTTCATATGTTGTGTTATTATCAACTCTTTTTCTGAGGTAAGACGTTAAATAAGGGGTGATATTTCCAAACAGATGTAGTGTACCAAGACCAACATACATCAGAAAACACCCCAAAACTGCTATAAATGGACGAGCTTCCATTTCTAGAAATGACACAGGGAACGGTATCCTAAAGTTCAATTGATGATCTGGAAATGATAAACTACATAAATAACCTTCTGGTGAAATCCTTTATTTTAACAATATATTCCCTTAAAATCCCGAAAGTTTGATGTAGCGCAACAATAAAAACACATTTAACGATGAATTATTCTTATACCCCAACCCCACTCCTCAACTGGGGCACAATGGTAAAACCCCTGTGTTTCAACAATAGACTCTGATTACATACGCAGACACTATACGCAGTTAACAAGAAGAATATATTTACCATTTATCTCTAAAGAAAATTTCCGAAATTTGGGTAACTTTTTACTCCATGATCACCCGCACATCTTACACATTTCGTGATGTCAATGCACACATCTGCCATATGGCCATATTTTTGGCATTTATAGCATTGAAGGACTGGAAAACTTCTTTTGAATTCTTCAATCTTGAAGTTTAAAAACTCAATTTTAAGGCCTTATTTTACTAATTTTTGACATCATCTTCATTATTTAAGAATCCTTTAACTGAAGTTGCAGGTTCACTTGTTCTTCGGCTTATAATCATTTATGCTTTGCTTGTTCCTATCTCTTGTTTGTTTAATTCTTCCATGATGTCTTCTGGATTTATACTATGGTTGATACCTTTGACTACTGCTACTTTTGGTTCTGCATAGCAGAAGGCAATCTAACTATAACTTGTGCATTATTAAACATTTCAATAGGCCATTTATCTAACAGTTTTCCGTAATAATAGCTATCCTCAGATTTAATAAATACATTAGTATTTCTTAGCTATTTAATGTTAGAAATTGTAACGCCAGGAATTTTTCATATTTTTTTTACACATCTGGATGTCATTAAATCCAGTAGCTATGTTCTCCACAATAATTGGTGGTAAACTTTTACCGTAAATTTGGCTACCATCCTTCTTCTTTGTAATTTAGGCTTTTTACCAAACACTTGCCATCCTTCTTCTTCCATATCAGTGTTTGAATCTTCATCAGTAAAAATTATTGTTGGTTTTTGATTAATTTTATTTTGCTTACTTTCTTGCTTTGGGTTTCGTCTTTTTTTATGTAATTGGATTTACTTGCTCAAATTTCTCCATACCTTCTTCCATATTGATATAATCCAAGCCTAAAAGCTTAGATATATCACTAGGTAAACTTTACCCCAGCCATAGTTTATTTAAACTATTTTTCTTTAAAATAACTGAATAGTTATAAAATAGTTATAGTTATAAACAAAATGATTTAACTTTCTTAATGAGAAAGCTATAATAGAACAGAGAGTAAGAAAGCACACGGTAATACGCAGGATAGAAAGTAACATACAAACAAACTTGAAGTATTGTACCTGTTGGTTCGTGTAATATTTTACTGTGTAACAACCTCTGATACTATAAAAAACAAAGTTGATATAGAAAATGGGAAATAGTATAAAATAAAAGAACGTACATTTACTTAACGTGAACGAAGAGAGTAGAATAATTGAAACACTGGAAGTCACACATGTTAACTTAAAAACAAGTACTCTAGTTATAACACAAGATTCAGTATGCAACTACATACGTATACACCTGCCTAAAGTTCTGTTTGATTAAAATTATGAAAAAGAGGAAGACTTATGTAGTGGTAGCAATTATCTTCTGTTACAAAACTTACAGAGTGGAAGGAAAAATAGTCTAATAATGTTTTCTTGTATGAACAAGTTTTTGATCGTTTGCTAGACCAGAAGTAAGTTAAGGATTTGCTGGTATGCAGTATTTACTGGCCTAAAGATTATGATGCACTTGGTTCAGTACTGACTGTACCAGAGGTTAGGGTACAGACTTACAGGTTTTACAGTATTTGCTGCATCAGAGGTTAGGCTCACGTTGGTACAGCATTCGCTGCATTTTAAGGTACAGGTATTCGTTGCATTAAAGGTTAGGAAAGAGTTTGTACAGTATTTGCTGCATCAGAAGTTAGGGTCAGTTTGTATAGAATTCGCTGCATCAGAGATTAAGATACAGGTTTTAAAGTATTCGTTGCATCAAATGTCAGGGTACAGTTTTTAATGGACAATTAATGTACACTTTCTGTTGATTGTTTATTGATTTATGTAAAACGGTAATAAAACCGGGCAATTAATAAATGACGTGGTAATACATAAAATTTATATAAAAAGTAAATATGAAAATAGTTTAAGCTAAGATGCTAAATAAAAATTAAATGGTTTGTAAAAATACGAAAAACATGGACAATCTTGACAGTACCATCATCTGTACCTGATGATGACAAAACCTTGTCGAAACGTTGTACATTTGCTGTTATGTTAAACTTATATTAAAGTTTTTCTTCATTGCCCATTCAAGCCGTCTCCAAGTATTATTAGTACCATCATCGCCAGTGACACTTCGTCCCACCAATGACAACCATAGCTCGAAAGATACATTATAGTATACATTTTTAGAGTCTCACAATTGTTACCCTCTACGATAAAAAAAATCCTATACATTTTAATAGTATTCATCTCCATTCTGTAGTCTTTTTTTCCCTTTTTTTATTAAAATATATTAATAATTCAAAATCTTCAAACTATCCGTAAAGCTAAACTCGATACTCTGTACGATTGTATATAGCTAATTACATTTTTGTAACACCTAAATCATATACATCACTACAAGAAAGTCAAATTTCAGACTGAATAGGATTTTAAATTATTGCCTTCCACGAGAAACACGTGGTTTATACACAAACTAGGCATAGACACACACACACACTGTAAATAACAGTAATAGCTACACCTTGAACAATTACCACTATTGGCTAAATCTCTCTCTGGTTTAGAAATCAAGTCCACTGAAAACAGAAATTTCTTGCACAGAATATATACTATCTGCTATTTCTAGTGGATTTTTATGGACTATTAGAGAGCAGATTTTGTATGAAGCTTCGGCTCCTTGCTGAATCCCTTTTCCCCAACCCTTAGCGACGTGTTTATGGAATACTTGGAGTATTTAAACTTCAAATACAGATTACAGAAGATAGGCGGATGATACCTTCACTATCTGATTAAATGAAGCTGACACCGTTACAAAGTTTATAACCCATCCGAATTCAAAACATTCAGTTCACAGGACAGAAAGAATCGAACGATTCACTTCATTTCCTAGATGTTCTGATTATTCAAGACAAAACTAACATCGAACATCCAGTTTACAAAACAGAAGGAATCGAATTATTCACCATTTTCCTAGATGTTCTGATTGTTAGACACAAATATCATGTTAACGACAATCAAAGAACCTACAGTGCCTCTAAGAAAAATGTTAATTTACAAGATTCCCAGACTCTATGAGTTTTACAAAGAAGAACCTGGAATATACATTAGACAGGGAATAAAAGAACAAAAAATATTACCTCACGTTGAAATATCGCTTCAGCCTAACATAACTAACTGAACACAAGAGACAGTGTGAAAAATGTCATACTCAAATTAACAAAGAGTTATTCTTCTATAAAATACAAGAACTTACATGTATTTAACGTGAACGAAGAGAGTAGAATATTTCAAACACTAGAAAGGTAAGCACTGTGATGATAACACAAGATTCATTATGCCAATACTTCTGTTGTAAGGCTTAAAACCATTTGGTATACACTTGTCTAGTATCCTTCCTGATTAAAATGACAAAAGCAGAAATGGCTTATGTAGTAGTAGCAGTTATGTTCGCTTTTTAAAACGACTAAGCTTACACGGTAGTGGAAAAATTTTCTGACAATATTCTCTTGCATGTCATATCAATTATGAACAAGGCTTAGATCATATTCCAGACAAAAGCAATCTAACTGAAGTTGTATGCGAAGCGTTGCTCATGTATATCGATAGGGTACAGTATGTAGAGTATTTACTGCACCAGGGATACACCTCATAGTTTAGATACTATATAACACCTTATAGTTTAGATACTATACAACACCTTATAGTTTAGACACTATACTTATACAACACCTCATAGTTTCGATACTATACAACACCTTATAGTTTAGATACTATACAACACCTCATAGTTTAGATACTATACAACACCTCATAGTTTTGATACTATATAACACCTTATAGTTTAGATACTATACAACACCTTATAGTTTAGACACTATACTACACATCATAGTTTAAGCAGTATACAACACCTCATAGTTTAGATACTATACAATGGTTTAGATACCTATACAACACCTCATAGTTTAGATACTATACAACACCTTATAGTTTAGATACTATACAACACCTCATAGTTTCGATACTATACAACACATCATAGTTTAGATACTATACAACACCTCATAGTTTCGATACTATACAACACCTTATAGTTTAGATACTATACAACACCTTATAGTTTAGATACTATACAACACCTCATAGTTTCGATACTATACAACACCTTATATCTAAACTATAAGGTGTTGTATAGTAGTTTAGATACTATACAACACCTTATAGTTTAGATACATAGTTTAGACAGTATACAACACCTCAAGGTGTTGTATACTGCTTAAACTATGATGTGTAGTATAGAGTCTAAACTATAAGGTGTTGTATAGTATCTAAACTATGAGGTGTTGTATACTGTCTAAACTATGAGGTGTTGTATACTGCTTAAACTATGATGTGTAGTATAGAGTCTAAACTATAAGGTGTTGTATAGTGTCTAAACTATGAGGTGTTGTATACTGCTTAAACTATGATGTGTAGTATAGTGTCTAAACTATGAGGTGTTGTAAACTGCTTAAATTATGAGGTGTTGTATAGTATCTAAATTATGAGGTGTTGTATACTGCTTAAATTATGAGGTGTTGTATAGTGTCTAAACTATGAGGTGTTGTATACTGCTTAAATTATGAGGTGTTGTACAGTGATAGTTTAGATACTATACAACACCTCATAATTTAAGCAGTTTACAACTCCTCATAGTTCAGACACTATACAACACCTTATAGTTTA